TTCCTATTATTTGTCGCAAGAAAAAAATGATGTGAACGCAAAGTAAGAAGCAAGCTGTAAAGGGGAATCACACGCACTATTAAAAATCTCCCTAGACCAGAGTAGGTCACTAGCTGCGCGAGTTAAGTGCGGTCACTCGTGAACTGCAGTATAGTTAATTCGCAATGGGTTTGTTGATTTCCGTTGAATATTATTTACTTGAAATTATCAAATGGGTGATTTATCATAGGTTGCCGACGTTCGAGTTAGGATCTTCTTAGTAGAGGAAAAGTTTTTAATTTTGCGCCGCCTCCGAAAACTTTGAAATGTATTTGGTATCCTATTTAACGATTAAGTAGATATTATTAATAGCTATGGAATATTGGTATAAATGAAATAGAAATTATTTGACACTTTTTAGTGCATTTCGAAGTCGGATGTTTTTTTTGTTAAAAATTATTTTATGACTTATAGGAATGAAATTGTTATATTCGGCCCACCATTGCAGCCTATTTTTAAGCATGGTTTCAAATAATTTGCATAGGCAGGATGTTAATGAAATAGGGCGGAGGCTTTTACCATCAGCTTTGTTTATAAAATGGACAAACGAGTGCTTCCAATTCTCTGGATAGTTGTTCCTTAGGTACATTTCGTTAAAAATATCAACTAAGAGCAGTTTATACTTAATCGGAAAATTTTGGATGATTTCAAAATTGATACCATCTGTACCCGGGGATGATTTTACATTTTTGGAATTTAATGCTACGTTGAATTCCAAGAAGTCAGAAGGAGTATCGAGAAAAGAGTTGTGGTGGATGGCAGGCAGCCAATCAGGATCTGTTTGTACCCAGGGCGGGCTTATTTTATTGAGCGCGGTTTCAATTTTGTGGCGAAGTTGTAAATTTTCGGCCGAGTGCTGAGGAGACGTATTTACCCAACTATTTTTAAAAATTTTGCACTTGCTTCAGACGTATTTCGCGTCAGTATGAAAATTTATGTCTTCGGCAAATTTTTTGAAACACTCCTTTTTTTAAGTTTGAAGGTACGTTTAGCTAACGCAGAATATTTCTTATAATTTATTAGGTCAGCTGAGTTTTTAGTAAATTTCCATTTTTCGTAAGAGGCTTTGCGCAGCTTTTTGATTTTGTAGCATTCGGCGTCCCACCATGGAACAGGATTATTTATTTTGCCGTTTGATGTGACATTCTTTTTAGGAGAGCTAAATTTGACAGCAGAGGAAATAATTTCTACTAAGGTATTGTATTTATCAGAGGGAAGTGATTGATCAAATTCCGCTGTTAATAGTTTTGGGAAATTGTCCTCGAGGAAGCCGCGAAACCTGATCCAGTCAGTTCGTACGGATTTTATTTTAAACGTTTTTTTAGAGTAAGGGTGTTTACCGGCATTAACGCATATAAAGATAGGAAAATGGTCAGAACCCCAAGTTTCATCTTCAACTACGACGTTAATTTTGTCCGACAGACTAGTGGAAGAAAGAACTAGGTCGATGTAAGATTACGATGAACGTCTGTGTAGGTAATAGAGCTATCATTGTGTAAGAATAAATTGAGCAAGTCAATCGCGTTTTCAAACCTTTCACCGTTTTTGTCAGTGTAACGACAATTCCAATACGTATGATGCGCGTTGAAATCACCAACAAGGATACAGTTCTTTTTATTCCTAACATTTTCTGCTAAAGTGTTCCATTGATCCTGGGAAAGAGTGAGACCTGGGTCTCTGTAGCAAACTAATAAGTCGATACACGGATTTATGTTATTGATGCGGATACCGCATAATTCGACAGACTCGTCTGGACTCACGATGTCACTTATTTCTAAAAAGGCTAGGTTTTTGCGAATTAGCAATAGAATGCCTCCACCTCTCGAGTGGATTCTGTCCTTTCTGAAAGTCAGGAAGCCTGGATAGCCGATAGTGTTGTTCGGTACAAGCCACGATTCTACGCAGATGAAAATGTCAATCTCCTTTAAGACACTTTCAACTTCGAGTCTTCGTTGCATAAAACTTCTTGCGTTCCAGAAAACAATCCTTAAGCAGGAAGGATTAGATTTTGCGTTGATTTCCATAGATGGAGGTGGGTACTCGGTTTTAGCGCTAGGCTGCGGTGTCATCTGTAGAGCTAGTGTCGTCACTTGAACTAAAGTTCGGACTAGTATTGTTGAGACGTTTTATTATTTTGTTGATGCGGCTTTTAAGATTACGATCAGTGGTAAAGTTATGAACATCTGAGAGCATAGATGTCAGTGCTGGGATATCAGAGCAGTTTTCAAGATATTGGCGTTCCCGTAGGACGCGAACAGAAATTCCGTGATCGTTTCGATGGACAAAGGATATTTATGTGCGTCAGCTGTAATGAGATCAGCGATCGGTTGTAATTGAGCTGTTACATCACTTAAGGAGATTTCTCTGTTCATCAATTTTTTGATTTTTTTTGGAGCTTTTCTTTGTTTGTTTTTAGTGATGGAAGACGGTAGTTGCTCACTGGGCGTGTTGGTAAGACTGCTTGATGATAAGGAGCTGGATAGAGGCCTTTTCGTTCCTGAGAGAGGAAGCTTAAAGGGTAGAGAGTCGGAAGTGCGGGGAGAAATTTCCAGTTGAGAGGGCTGTGACGAAAGATCAACAACGGTGTTTATTCCAGTAGTAGGATATTCCTGTAAGTCATTTAGAGAGACGGGAGCGTTTACCGAATGAGTCGTGTAGTCAATGGAATGTGTATTCTTAATCGTTTTCTTATTGCCCGTAGTTGGATTAGAGTCTCTCGTATGTTGTTTGTCGCTTGTTGATGTGCCGGAATTTTCCAAGGTGCCGGATTCCGAGGGGACAACAGTGGTTGCGTTTACATTTGAATCCATATAACTAGGACAATGCTTTGCAATATGGCCTTCAATTTTGCATAGAAAGCATTTCAACACGTCGGTACTAGGATAAACATAGTACGTAGTCTCATCAAAGACAATTTTGATGAACTCAGGTAATTTTTGGACATCACTAGGGTTAATGTAAGTTTGCCTTCTCGAACTAAGAACATGTTCGTAGCCGTCTTTAGCTATAGTAGCTTTCAAAGTTGTGATAGAAGCACTACGTTTGATATTGAGGCTGTCAATTTTGTCTTCAATGATGTGATGAGGAATTGGAGGGGCCACGTTGGAGATAATGACTCTCTGCTGTTTCGAAATTAGAGGTCTAATGGTGACTTTTTCTTTTCCTATTTTAAGGAATTCGTGTTTCTCAGTAATATCGTTTACCAAGTCCTTACTGGACAAGTACAAACAAACTCGGTTGTGCGAAATTCTGGATGAGTACAGAATGTTTTTGGGATGAACAATATCGCCTACTGCTACGGTGTAATCCGTTAGATTTAAGCCTTCGACACAATCCAATATCAGCCCTTGGTCTCTTTTCGGGAAGTGGTTCTTCTGAGCAGCTGCGGCATAACTCATACTATTTGCACTTTTAACAACAGAGTTGGGAACTTCACTTAAGGTTGCACTGAAACTAGAACTATTAAGCTGATGGCTTTTGGTTAAAATCACTCACGTGATTTTCCACTCGCGTTTAGGCGGTGTTTATAAGGGCAAGAGCCCCGCGCAAGGTAACACGCGGTGTACAAGCAATCAGAATGTATCGGAGAGCTAGTAAACACGTCTACTCTCGATGAAGGTTCAGAACGAACTCCGACCATCGAGACTGAGCGGGTTTTCGAAGCTTGCAAGAACTCGTTGGCTGACGCTGTGTTATTGGTTTACCCTAGAGATAATGCTTCTCTATTACTCACGACTGATGCTTCAGACTTGGCGTGCGGTGGAGTTGCTTCAGCAAGAAACAAATGGGATTTGGGAACCTCTTGGTTTTTATTCTAAAAAATTCACCCCTCCGGAACAAAAATATAGTACAGGTAGCCCTCCTATAACACGGTAGATAGGTTCCTAGAAAACGCCGTGTTGTGTGAAATCGTGTTATATGAGACCCAGACCTAATACAAAAAGGGGGGTTACGTTCCGAAAACTTATTAAAAACAAACTTTTTTTTTTAATTCTATATAAGCAACTTAATTTTTATTAAAAATATAACACAAAACGAAAAAAAAAAATATTATTTTCATTTAATGTATCCTTAATTTATTAAAATTCTTCCTCATCACTAGTTACAATGAGACGGCAAGGCTCGCCGCGGATGGCGTATAAACTGTGCATGACGCTTTCCGCTATAACATCGGAATAGAGTTATAAATGAGTAAATTATTATTTATTTATATATTTTCATGTAAAAGCACTGTAGTTCATTATTCCTTCCCGTTATTATTATTAAGTAATTTAGTTTTTAAATATGTTAAACAAAAATCATGTTATCCAGTGCTGTAGAAGTACAGTGTTGTACAAAGATTTTCTCAATTTTCTTATTGTTTTAACGAATACACGTTCGCGATGCAACTATGGGAACTTGTCGTCCGAGTTAAACGAAGGTCGTAAATCTTCGTTTTAAATGAAGATTGACACTGCTGTGCGCGTATGACCTTATGACGATTCCTCGTGATAAGGGAAATAATTTCAACCGTTTGACACGTAACTATTGGTATATTTTACTAGATAATTAACAACAAAGTATGCAAGAAGCTTGGTGTGTGTGTGTAATGCAAAAAGACTTATAAATGGAATCGCTAGTGAGCTATAATGTTCTCACTTTGATCTTTTAGCCGAGAGTGAAGCTCCGCTGACACGTTGTTAGCGAAGAAAACGCTCAAAGGGGAGTTTCCTGATTTTCTCGTCGATTGAGGAACCAATCAGGAGTGTTTTTAAATTTCACTCCATCCCGACTGGCCCCCCAGTTCGACGAGTCGTGGGTGGTGGGGCATTTTGCTGGTCAAACTGACCTTGCCCGTGGTCGATATGGCCCCTTGGCCTAGGGTCGCATCGCGGCTGGAAAAGTCCCAAGTCTGCGCGGCACATGTCATCACCTGCCAATGATATATGACATGCTGTTCCTTCAAAACTCCAAGCCCAAAAATGGTTTTAGGGCTGGTCGTTTCCGTTACCGAACCAGGAGAATTGAAGGACAGCGGCAGACAATGGCAATGCATGTGCCGCGCCGTGAACGGACCTGGGACCTTCCAGATGGGTGTATAACGGTAACTTAGTCCCTTACGGTGAACAAATGTTAAAAGTCTTGATGAGGAGTGAATTTACTGCCCATGGCATGTAACACTTATCGTGTTAGAGCGAAACAGTGTTATAGGTTGCAGTGCTATACGAGGGTTCCCGCAATTTATCCTATCGTGTTAGAGTGAAACCGTGTTATAGGATGCCGTGTTGTAGGAGGGCTACCTGTACCTATGACCGTGAGCTAACAGCCATTTTTAAAGCTATTAAATACTTTAAACATTTCATAGAAGGACGACATTTCACAATTCAGACGGATCACAAACCACTGATGTACACTTTCTTACAGAAATCTAACAAAGCTTCTCTTCGACAGTTAAGACAGCTTGACTTTATCGGACAATTTACGACCAATATCATTCACATATCAGGATCTTCTAATTTCGTTGCTGACGCCCTATCACGGCTGGACGTTATCAGTATGCCAGTCGTGGTGGGCACTGAAGAAATAGCAGACATGCAGGAAACGGACCCTGAGCTCTCGCGGATATTGGAAGGAAGCACTGCACTGTGCCTCAAGCCTCTGAAAGTCGACGGTTCTGAATCGATGGTATTTTGCGATATTTCTACAGATAATCTTAGACCTTATATTCCTGAAGCGTTGCGTAAGCGAGTTGTTGAAAGTGTTCATGGTTTGTCTCACCCGAGTGGGAGATCTACTAAAAGAATAGTTTGTAAACGTTTCGTCTGGCCTCGCATGAATAGAGATGTCCTTAACTGGGCAAGAACGTGTTTGCGTTGCAAGCGAAGCAAGATTTCGTGGCATATCGTTAATAAGCCTAAGCATATTACTGTTCCAGGGGACAGGTTCCAACATGTTCATTTAGATTTAGTAGGACCCTTACCAATGGTCAAAGGTTATAAGTACTGTCTGACCATGATCGATAGATTTTCCCGTTGGCCAGAGGCGGTTCCTCTCAAGGATATCACGGCGAGTACTGTGGCCGCCGAGTTCTATGCCACCTGGGTGTCTTGTTTTGGTGCTCCTGCCTCGATCACCACTGATAGAGGTGCTCAATTTGAGGGGCAATTATTTAATTCTTTGGCAAAACTTATCGGTACCAGTCACATTCGCACGACAGCATACCATCCGGCATCGAATGGCATGATTGAAGGTGGCATAGATCTCTAAAGGCGGCCATCATGTGCCATGAGTCTAAAGATTGGGTAGCTATCCTCCCAACGGTACTACTTGGTTTGCGTTGTAGCTATAAGGAGGATATTGGTGTCTCAGCGGCAGAGTTATTGTACGGAGCTCCTCTCAGATTACCGGGAGAGTTTTTCATCGACACTCAAACGCGCGACTTTTGTACTGATGACTTTAGACTCCACATGCGACAGATTCGACCGAAACCGACAGTGCATCATAGCCGTAAATCTCATTTTGTATCTAAGGACTTATTTACAGCCTCTCACGTATTTGTTAGAATTGATGCAACAAGAAGGCCTCTAGAACAGCCGTATGAGGGACCATATCAAGTGGTCAAACGGGTATCTGACAATGCATTTCTGATTAATTATAGAGAAAAAGAATCGGTAATCTCTACTGAGCGCCTGAAACCAGCGTATATTGAGTTAGAAGAGAACGGTAATCAGTTGCCGAGGACGTATTCGAGGGTATCGTCTACTCTCCCTTGCAGGTCGAGTGACTTGGAGGGGGGTAGTGTGGCGGCGCCTACTTTCGGTGAGCCGTCCTGCCGGAAAGTGCATTTCCGGCTACCGCAGCGCCCTCTTTAATTGTAGAAAGCGTGAAAATGCGTTTCCCCTCCCACGCCAACGCTTGGCGTGAGTCACTCTTGCCCTCGCACTCATGGAGTATAGAAGTCACGTTTTCCAAAGATTGGGTTGTAAAACTTAGTGTTATAAGTAAAAAAACTCCTGTGAATAATAACCAAAAGTTTAATCTTGGAACTGACTGATTTTAAACAAAAGGCTAGTATTTAGTTTTGTGAACAATCAACCTGCGTAAAAAACTTTATTTTTCTATAAGACCAAGTATCCTCTGTTGGTACAGTAGAAGCCATAATTTACCGCATTTCTGCGAACGCGCCTACACTGTTGTGGCGGCCCTGCCCACGCCTGCCAACATCCGCGAGCAGCGCTCCTGGGCGGAGGTCGTTCGGGCGACAGCCGCGAGCGGCGCGGCGAGCGGCCGACGCCACACGCAAAAATAGAGCGAGTCAGCCATCTTCTACACAACGGGGACTTCCCTCCAAGAAGCGTGGCGTCTGAAAGAATCCGTTGTACAAAAGCATCGCCTTACGTGTGGGCTCCTGTAAACGGGCTAGAGAAATAAAGAACGTTTCATTGATCGGTAGTCGCATGGTGTTTCCCTGTAAAACCATAGTGATTAGATCCGCTACATAATGGTGACCCCGATGTGATCTCCACGCGACGCGTGTTTCATTCGAGGTGCTTCCGCCGCGCGGGTGCGCGATTCGAGACTTTTTTAGCGTCCGCCCGGAGGAACTCGGTTCTGACCCCTGTTAACACTCGTGAGTGTCCGGGTTAGCCGATTGCAAGGTTGTGACGATTCCGCCGAGGGTCGAACTCGCGGAATAATGTCGGTGCCACGCTCCCCGTCGGCAACGCGCCGTTACGACCAAGATACCAGTAGGACCGCCGTTGAACCACCTGCTGGACCGGTAGCCGATCCCGTGTCAGAACAGGCCCAGGACGGGCCGATTTTGGAATTTCCCGCGACCGTGCAGGCGGCTGGCGTCGTGCGCTTGCCGCCTTTCTGGAAGGACGCCGCGACCTTTTGGTTTGCGCAAGCCGAGGCGACGCGACGTTCGAGATTGCGCGAGTCACGTCTGACCGGACTCGTTTCGCCCACGTCCTGACGGCCTTGGACCATGCGGCGTACGGATTCGTCGCGGATGTCGTCCGACGTCCTCCCGCAACCGGGATGTAAGACGCGGTCAAGGCCAGACTGCTGCAGGCGTACGAGGAGAGCCCCGAGTCTAAGCTTCGCCGCGCGCTGCGAAGCCATGAGTTTACCGGAGAGAAGCCCTCGCACCTACTCCAGCAACTCCGGAACCTGGCGGGGGAACAGATTTCGGACGGAGCCCTCCGCACGCTTTTCCTGGAGCAACTCCCGAAGGACTCTCGGGACATCCTGACGGCCATGGAGACGACGGACATCGACCGGATCGCTCAGGTGGCGGACCGTTTATACGAGGCGCGCCACGCTGATGTCATGGCGGCTTCCGCCGCGCCATCGCGATCGCCGCGAGCGCCGTCCCCGATCTACGGGAGTTCGAACAACTATGCCGAGACGCGAGTCGCAAGTGTGGAGACAGGTGGACGACAGCGCCAGTGCGAGTGCAGTGTCTCATGTATTTTGCGACAACTAGAACACTTGACGGTGTTAGTTGAGAAGACCCTGCGGCTCTCAGCACAGCGGGACCGAAGCCGATCTAGGAGCCGTTCGCGAAGCCGGTCAAGCTTGCTCCAGAGAAGCGCCGGCCTTTGTTATTATCACACGAGTAGTTGTTCTATGCGGATTCTGAATCACTGGCGTTAGCATTTTTTTATAATTTGACACCACACCGTCAGCAGAAATGTGATACCCCCCCCCCCCCGGACAACCCCCACCCCTCTCCCTGCCCCCCATGACCTTGAACTGAAAGGGTCTAGCCGTATAAGCATAGTGAAGCGGCCCCAGAAACAATTTCGGTTGATATTTATATCACGTAATGCTTTTTGCCTAAACAACAATTGTGTGCAATTTCAACCCCCTACCCCCTCTGATAAGGGAGATATGAGGGTAAAACCCAAAACCTTTACCATTTTTTTTCTCGGAAACTATTTAAGATATTTGATCACGTTAAAGTGCAAATAGTAGGTATTCATTAGTTGTATATCATATTTTTTTTTCAAAATTTTTATTCGATGATTAAGGGTTAAAAATTAATAAATAAATCTTTGAAAATGATTTTTATAAACAATCCCTTGGATGACACCCACCGAAAAAATTAAGAATAATCCTTTACTATTTAACTATTATCTGTAAAAATTTCAAGAGTGTCGGATTGGTACATCATAGTTAAAAATAAATAAAACCAATGCAACGCCCTTTCATAAGGCAAAGCCGGCCTGAACGTTAGAGGCGCTCAACCTAACCGACCTACAGGGGAATACGTAGCGCCGACCCGCCATGTTTCTCGTACCAGAAACAGCTCTCAGAAAAGTATGAGCTCTTCTTTCCCTAAACTGTGTGTCAGTTAACAGTTTAAATAATATATTAACAATTTAAATTTTTTAATTAAGTTTTCTGGTCCTAACTTTTAACGTCCGTGTTTTCACGGTGTTTCTCGTTTTAAGTATGTGCGAGCCCTAAATCACAGATTTATATCATGTCTTGAACAATGACACTGTGTTAGATGCCATTAGTTGTCCTTTTAATAGTCAAAGAAGGTATCACAGGTATAACTGCAACATCATTCTATTCAACGCTGTAAAGAACATAGACTTCTATAACTATTTCCGTCTTTACCTTTTCACGTACGTATTACTTTTAATTAAATTGTAGCTGGTACCTGTGAATAGTTGTAACTAAGGTTTTCCTCGTTTTAAGTATATGATCGCCCTGAAAAGGGTTAATTATATTATAGCGTACCAGTACTACCTGGAAATGGCTGCAATTAAGGTGACCTTCGTTTTAAGTATATGGGTGTCCGGAAAAGAGTTAAGCGCGTTTTATGGTACAAATGGTGTATTTTCCAATGCGGTTTATATGCCCCGATACTTTATTTACGCAATCACGGAGCCTAAATTGGCGTGTAAATAGATGCATCGTAAAGGGTAAAGCGTACGATCCTGAGTCCATGATTTTAGTGTCCACTGTCTTGTTCCCTCTTGTTGCCGAATATAGAGGACTCGTTAATTGGATAGAATTTGCAAACTTTAAAATCTCGCGGTAAAAACGTTATCTTGCGGAATTAATGGACGAACATGACGCGTTAAATGTACAATATTTACAACAAAACAATAACATTATAAAAATGAAAGTTCGGTCGCGACATATAAACGGTAAAACTTACAATTGTTACATAGAATACAAATCAAACGTAAATAGTTACGTGGGTATAAACCAATATGCATGCGATTGTCCGAATGGTAACAGAACGGTAGGTTGTTGCTCCCACGTTGTCGCGATCATTTATTATTTATCCCATGCGCGTTATAAATCCAGAATAGTTAAACCGTCCGAAATTTTAACTCACTTATTCGATAAAACTAACATTATTCTAGTTATTGATGAAAATAGCGACGAAGATTAAAATTTATTTACAAGCGTGTTTTTTTAAAAAATGTTTTTGAGTTTTCTGTTTCAAATCATATACTTCAACCTGACAATACATAACACAATCAGCTCTTTTTAGGGCTTAATAATCAGCCCTTTTCAGGGCTCCCACATACTTAAAACGAGAAACACCGTGAAAACACGGACGTTAAAAGTTAGGACCAGAAAACTTAATTAAAAAATTTAAATGGTTAATATATTATTTAAATAAATGACTATTAACTGACACACAGTTTAGGGAAAGAAGAGCTCATACTTTTCTGAGAGCTGTTTCTGGTACGAGAAACGTGGCGGGTCGGCGCTACGTATTCCCCTGTAGGTCGGTTAGTGAGCGCCTCTAACGTTCAGGCCGACTTTGCCTTATGAAAGGGCGTTGCATTGGTTTTATTTTTTTTTAACTATGATGTACCAATCCGACACTCTTAAAACTTTTACAGATAATAGTTAAATAGTAAAAGATTATTCTTAGTTTTTTCGGTGGGTGTCATCCAAGGGATTGTTTATAAAAATCATTTTCAAAAATTTATTTATTAATTTTCAACCCTTGATCATCGAATAAAAATTTTGAAAAAAAATATGATATACAGCTAATGAATACCTACTATTTGCACTTTAATGTGATCAAATATCTTAAATAGTTTCCGAGAAAAAAAATGGTAAAGGTTTTGGGTTTTACCCTCATATCTCCCTTATCAGAGGGGGTAGGGGGTTGAAATTGCACACAATTGTTGTTTAGGCAAAATGCATTATGTGGTATAAATATCAACCGAAATTGTTGCTGGGGCCGATTCACTACGCTTATACGGCTAGCCCTTTGACACCATCGTCAGCAGAAATATGATACGTCCTCGACAACCCCCACCCACACCTACCCCATAACCACCCCTCCCCCCACCCACACCCACCCCAAAGCCACCCCCCTCAGACCCACCCCTCCACCCCACCCCATGACCTTGAACTGAAATTTGACACCACCGTCAGCAGAAATATAACACCCTACCCCCACCCTCCATGACCTTGAACTGTTTGTTCTTAACGGAAGACCACTTTTTCTACGTCTTGGAAATGATTTTTTCTACGTCTTGGAAATGAGTTTTTTTGTTGACGCAGCAAATTTATTTTCATATTATTACATTAATGAAGTAGGGGGAAGGGTGAGGTAAAGAATAAATTACAGTAATAACGATTATATAACTTTACCTGTTTACTTTATTGTTAATAGAAGTGTTACGTCCCTAGTTATAACCCATTTTCGTCTTTCGCCATTTCAAGGAGGTCTCGCTCTGGAATCCGCGTAACATCAGCGTTTTCTCGCTTAGCGACGCCCGCGATACGAAATCGGGGAACTCGCGGAATGCGATGGCGAAAACCCTTTGCTTGCAGGTTTTCGCAAGCAAAGAGCGTGACCTACTCCCCTTTTGGGAGTATAAGTTATCGCCACAACGCAGGTACGCCAGTTCCGTGATAGCGTAAAGCAGAGACGAAGTTCTGTCCGTTCGCGACCCGCAGTAGATCCGCGAGTAAGGCTAAACTCGAAACCAGGAAGATCATCGACGAAGTGCTCGGCCGACGGTTCAACACGAGTGTGTCGCCGTGGTCTGAGATAACAGACCCATAATTGGACCAAGTCCAGGAGTGCACCCGTGTGCTGTGCAGGACCACCACCAACCGCTTGTATCTCCAAGGTCGAGTCGTAGCCACGCGTCGCGAGTCTAGTGTATCGTCCGAACCGCGAAGCAAGCGAAAACCGAGACCCTCAGTGTGAATGACCATCGAGTGAATACGAGAACGAACGAGCGACGAACAACACCCGAAGTCGGCGAAGGGTATGTAACAACAGGGACAGAATATATATATATCTATTGAAGACCCATACATGTCTATCTTTAATAATTGAACACTCCATCCTGTACTCCTATACTACCTGCAAGGAAGGTCAAGGTACGCTTTAGCGTTTTGATCGGCAGAACCCAGAACATAGTAATAGTGAAATAACCATCCTTAAGGTGGGACGTAACAATTTGGTGTCAGAAGTGGGATACGTTAAACATACGGATTCACGTAATTTAAACAAATATCGAAATTCATTCATTTCCGAGGCTTAACGCGCCGTAACTTGACCACACCCTTGCTACTTTAACGCTCGCCTTCTTATAACCGTCACCATGCCTCTCGTTCACGACACGATTCCCTCTCGCAACCCACCACCGCCTCCTACGTCCTCGTCGTCCGTAAGAGACACACGGAGCCTCGGACAATCCGGGACATCCCATTACGATTCATGGTTCATCGCCGAAAGGGAGGAGAAAAAGGTGGATCGCGTTTTAGAAAAAATCCCTGATTTCGACCCTGAGAAGGTTTCGTTCGAAGATTTTCTGACCGCAATTCATAAAGTAAAGTCACGAGTCCCGTCCGGCCTAGAGACCAGATTTCTCGAAGGTCTTATGGATAAATTAGTTCAACACGTTAAATTCTATGTAGAAAATCAGAACTGCACAAGCGTCGTCGACCTCTTAAAGTTGCTTCGAAAGAGATACGCTCCTAACAAGACCTATAAGTCCTAGAATATACGCATCGTTTCTCGAAGCTACTTTATCAGGCCTCCGCCAGCGGTCGCGACGAAAAGGGCGACAAATTCGACCCCGAAAAATTCGACATCTTAGCGGGGCGAGCCTTCATCCGAGGTTTGCCACCAAAACTATCGCAGGCCGTAATGACTGCCCGGAAAACCACACTCACCGACATCATGGACGAGGCACTCGTGATAGACAAAAACGACGCGAAAATGAAAAAATCAACCCCTCCAACTAAACCACCGGTCAACCCTTTGCCAGCAACCCCGCCTTCACCATACGACTACAATCGCACCTGGTCGGAATGGCGGGAACCGCCACAACAAGTGCAACCGGAATATCCTAGCCACCCATGCGGTTCTTGCTACACGAATTCGGCCCAGCCCGCGGCCCCTCCGGTAAATACGTGTCAATCTCGGTACACAGCTCCACTATGCGGGGCCGAATGCCCACACGGTTGCGCCCCATACATGCCCCCGCAGCCTTCTTGGTTCTGCGGGTGTGGCCACGCTCAAAGGGCGCCACCTCAAGGCCCACGCTATCATAACCACTACCAAGCACACGGAACTCAATATTCAGGTCAAACGAATTATTCAAATAATTATTCACGCGGTCCAAATCGGCGCCAAGGACCTCGCCGACCGCCAGGAAATAGCTATCCTGAACGTGGGCGCGATCCTCCGCCAAGACTAGATAACAGGCCATCGCGCGATAGCACTCCAGACAGAGAAAATTTAAACTTCAGTCGCGCCCGTTCACCCGCGGACAATCGAGCGGGCGCAGCTTTTACGCCTCGCCGCGATCCCCAACGGCCACAAGCGAGTCCCCAGGACTCTTACAGGCTCCTTCGCCGCGAATCCGGATCCGCTCAAAGGAACTGAACAAAGGCAACGGAGAATTTATTATAGACACCGGCTCGATGTTGAACTTGATTAAGTCAAACGCGCTACGGACCGACGCGCCGATCATTAAATGCGAGAGCGTCAGCGTAAAGGGACTGCAAGGATACATCATCGCTGCCGGCATTATAAGCATTAAGATAAACGGAAGCCAAACTCTCTTCTACGTCGTCGACAACCCGGATTTCCCTGACAGAGTAATAGGCCTCTTAGGTAGCCCGTACCTCCTGCAAGAGGAAAGCGAAATTTCCTTTCACCATAGAACCCTAGTAACGAGCAAACGGCCGATTCATCCAATCGGATTCTCGAACTCACGGGAGATAAAAGAAACGCTGACCCCTTGCTAACGCGACCAGGAAGCACCACGAGCGCTCCTCTGTAAACAGGAATGTACAGAAGTTGCGTCAGCCGATTACACAAACGATAACGACGAAGACGCGGACCGCGCCGTCGAAGAGCTGACCCAACAAAATTCTCGGGAATCGGGTGAAGAAACGCGCAACGCGACCGACATTATTGACCTACCTAGGCGGCTGACACCGCTGTCAGACGAACAGCTGGAATTTCAAGGCGAAGATCTAGGAGACTATGTCGTCACGCAACTAACCGACGCTGAGAGAATCCAAAAAATTAATAAAGCACTAAAATTAGATCATTTAGAAGATAAACCGCGACGCATGGTCGAAAGTATCGTAGCACGTTACGCGGATAGATTTTTTATTCCCGGCGATCCTCTGGGCAATCGTTCACAATATCCCTGTGGACGACAAGACTCCGGTATTTACACGACAGTACCCCTTTAGCGTCGACCAGGAAAAGGAAATATCGAAACAAATACAGAACTTAGAGGACTTGGGGGTAATAGTTCCCTCGAACTCCCCGTATAACTCGCCCCTCTGGCTAGTTCCGAAAAAACCGGATTCGAAAGGAAATGTGCGCTGGAGAATGGTCGTAGACTTCCGTAAATTAAACGCGAAAACAATCGACGACCGTTTCTCGATTCCCCGCATATCGGATATTTTCGACCGGTTAGGAGGTGCAAAATATTTCGCTGTCTTCGACTTGGCAAATGGATTTCACCAGATACGCATGGCCCCGGAGGACCAGGAGAAGACGGCATTCTCGACCCCGGATGGATACTACGAATACGCGCGCATGCCGTTCGGTTTGAAAAATGCGCCCGCTACTTTTCAAAGGCTTATGCAACTCGTTTTGAAGGGACTAATTGGTAAAATCCTATACGTATACATCGACGATATAGTAGTTTACGGACGCACATTGGAGGAAATGGAAACACGACTCGAAACTCTGTTCCAACGCCTTCGCGATAATAACCTCTCTCTGCAACCAGATAAGGCGGAATTTCTAAAGAAAGAGGTGACCTATTTGGGCCACATCATCTCGTCCGAAGGAATAAGACCAAACCCGGAGAAAATTCGAACAGTAGAAAGTTTTCCGACTCCGACCACGCGAAAAACACTGAAACAATTTTTACGATTGGTAAATTACTATAGGCGATTTATCCCAGATCTGTCACAACAGGCCAAACCTCTGACAGAATTAACCAGCCCCAAGAAACCCTTCACATGGACCGAAGCTCATCAGAAAAGTTTTGAGGCATTACGACAGACACTGTGTAAAGAATCGGTTTTGCGCTATCCGAATTTCGACGAGCCCTTCATTATCACCACCGACGCATCGGACATCGCTGTCGGCGCTGTCCTAAGTCAGGGCAAAATAGGCGAAGATCCACCTATTGCCTACGCGTCGTTAGCCCTCACGCCGGCTCAACAAAATTATTCGACAACGGAGAAAGAATGCTTTGCAATCATCTTTGCCGTAAAACATTTCAGAACGTACATATATGGCAGAAAGTTCACGCTAGTAACAGACCATCGTCCTCTACAATGGCTATTCTCGGTCAAAGACCCAGTATCACGCCTAGCCCGCTGGAGAATACTCCTAGAGGACTATAATTATGAGATCATATACAAACCAGGTCGAGTAAACGCAAACGCAGATGCCTTGTCAAGAAATCCGGTACCATTTGCACTACCAATAATACCCTCAGATCGAATCACCAACGCAGAGGAACCCATTGCAGACCGGGTAAGAGCACGTCGGGCGGCCCAATCTAGGCCAAATTACGAGGAACCACCATCCATGATCCTGGACGAAACACAATCGATAGGAAATATAGAACCGGAAGAGATCGAGCCCAATGCAAACTCCACCATGATGGATGACAACGTCACCACGGAGCAAGAGCACGAGGCACTGGCAACTAGTACCCCAAAACCAAGAAAACGCGTATCTTGGGGATCACCTCTCTCCACCCAGGAACCTATACAGCCATCCGAGGACCAAGCTGAAACAGAACAGGAACCATCCTCACACGACCTCTCGCAAACAAATACCGTCGAACAACCGACACGCATCTCCTGGGACTTGCCATCCCCAGCAGAATTATTAAACATACCGCAATCGACTATTAGGACTCCCGAATTTACTCGCGAATGGAAAAACATTGACAATATTTACGCGCCATATCCACAGGTCACCGTCAGCCCAACACAGGCTAAAGTCACCCAATGCAAAATAACCATTTCTAAAGCTCCACTCACCGAGGGCCCTGGTAACATCCCACATTTTATCCCTGCGGATAAAATTCTCACCAGCCCCAACTGTAGAACATTAAAAGCCGTAGGTATGCTCTCGGAAACAAATCTGCTCACGGAAAATCTAACCGAAGGACGCGTAATCGTTACGCAAGCAGAAGAAAGGCGAATTTTTAGCATCGTAGGCGCTAAATACTTTTTCCAGACTATCGAACAACACCAGATGTCTTATTTACTGCATGCTCTAAAACTAGCAGCAAAAATAGAAGGAGTAGATAATCTCCGCATCCCAACGAATGGAGAAACGATACACAAAATGGACGCTCAAACGTTACAACAACAATTGTCCGAAGCCTTTCATGACGAACCGATCACCGTGACGATATGTACAGGCGAAATACAAACTCCGCCAGAGGACCATCGAGAAGATATCATCCGCCACTATCACGAAAGTTTAATAGGAGGTCACAAAGGAGTAACTAAAACATATCGACGGATACGGAACCTTTTCGACTGGCCTAGAATGCATCGAGATGTGGAAGACTACATTCGGCCCTGTAAAAGCTGCCAAGAGCAAAAATTGGTACGGATCAAAACACGAGAACCAATGCTCATTACGGATACGCCAGCCAGACCTTTTGATAAAGTAGCACTAGACACTGTCGGCCCTCTTCCATTCACGCCAAGTGGAAATAGACACATTCTCACGCTTCAATGTCAACTCTCAAAATTTTGCATGGCTATTCCGTTACCGGACATCCGAGCTGAGACCGTAGCAGACGCCTTCTCACGTTACTTCGTCACAATTTTCGGCGCGTCACGGGCAATCCTCACAGATCGCGGAACGTCGTTTATTAATCAAGTTCTTAAAGGAATAGCCAAAACATTTAATGTCGAACACGTTACCACCTCCGGTTACAGGCCTCAAACAAACGGTTCCCTTGAGCGTAGTCACCACGTACTCATCGAATATCTAAAACATTTTATAGAAAACAAGCATGACTGGGATATTCTTCTTCCCTTCGCAACGTACTCGTATAACACCTCGACACATGAGGCGACAAATTTCACGCCTTACGAAGTAGTTTTCGGCCAGCTAGCAAGAGATCCTTTCACTCCCATGACTCGCGAAGAACTCCTGACCTATCCAGCATACATTCAAAATTTGGTACAACAATTAGAAGAAATCCGCCAAATAGCTAGGAAAAATCTGGAACAAAGCAAAGAACGCTCAAAATTACAGTACGATAGAAAAATTAAAGAAGTCGAATTCTCTCCCAATGATCAAGTTTATGTGTTAAAAGAACCGCGTCTTAGTAAATTTGACCCTCATTATATCGGCCCATTCAAAATATGTGAAATAACAGAAAATAACAACGCAATTCTCACGGACGAACAGGGAAGAAAATTCGCAAAATACCTTAATAAACTAAAACTCGCACATTCGAGAAATTTTGAAAACAAACACGATACCACCTGGAAACCTCTCCCTTTCGACCCCACCTGAGCAAAAAAGGTATCTATTTTAGGAAATCCAGTATCCAACTAACAGTTGACCTATGCCTATAAAATACTAGATAGGTCAACCAAACCAACATGGGCCCCTGGTACCTGCTACTAAACATCGCCTCGATCCAGTTCGTGACTGCGAACCATATGGAAGGTGACTACTCCGTTACACGTCTAAGGAACAACCCCGGACTATACCCCGAAAAACTAGCTCCAATCCGCACGTTCCGGACAACGTGGAAACTAGTCACAGCCCTGGACGTAACGGAAATCCTAACCAGCCGCCCAGATACCGTCTTCGCAGTAAACCGCATGAAGACCATGTGCAAAAGCCAAAACATTACATCATGCCCCGCGGACACCCTGAAAGAAGAATTAGATAGAAAACTCGCGGAGGCAGTACGTTACGAAAATTTGTTAGCACACGCGCTCGGAAAGAATGCGGTTAGAGTAAGACGAGCCCCTCTCGGATTCATCGGCTCGATCAGCAAAACTTTGTTCGGAACGCTCGACGAAACCGACGCTGAATATTATAACCGCGAAATCGATAAAATTTATAACGACCAAAAACAAATAACTTCTTTAATTCACAATCAGACTCACGTAATTAAATCCAAATTCCGAAAAGCCTACGATACGCTGAACACTCTATCCAAATCGGCAACCACAATGAATGCTAGAATCGAACACACGCTCTCTAAAACATCAGAAATTGGTAAAAGAGAAGACCAATTAGAATTAGAACTAGCTATGTCCTCCTGGGGAACCCGATTGATCCGTCAAACGGACGAATACGTACTAATGCTATCCACCCTGACTGACGCCGTAATGTTCGCAAAATTGGGAATCCTACAT